CTGTTCAAGAATAAGGACATCAGGATGGGGTGGGGAAAGTAAAACAAATCAAGATGGCAGCTGTAAAAAAAGGGGGAGGCATCGATCTCAGGGTGGTAGCCGCCATCTTGATTTTCTTTACACCCTCCCGTGGATGCCCCTCTTCCAGATTGACCAGGGAGCAGAACTCCTTTACTTTATGGAAGATATGTGCAAAAGTAGAACGGAAAGCACCTTTGTGACATCAAAAATAAGTTCTACAATTCCATGTCCTAAAATGATGCTGTGGACATGTACCGATAAGGCCGAACTTGCTGGATTCTGTTGGTAGACTGGTGGTTGAGACCCCAAGGCTACCAGTTTTGGAGGACTTCAATTTACTGTCTGGGGATGTTGGTCACTCAGGAGTTCATGACCACCATGGCAACCATGATCTGCCCCAAATCATTGTGGGCCCAACACATACTGTGGGTCTCATGTTGGACCTGGTTTTTGTCTTAGGGTAGTTGAGATGTGATCTGCTTCTGGAGAACATTGCTATTAGTCAGTTGCTGTGGTCAGGTCATTTTCTGATTGCTTTTTTGCTCACAGGTGCCACCTTATCTTGCAGGGGGACACGGCTTGTTAGATCAGCCTGTCTGGTGACTGATGGACCTGGCTGGGTTCCAGAGGGAGCTTGGGGCTTTCCCTCAGGTCTGATGGGCAGTTCAGCTGAGGCCTCAGTAGCAGTCAGGAATGGGCAGCATGTAAAGGCCTTAGATTGGATTGCTTCTATGTGGCCTTTCCTCCTATGCTGATTCTGGGGTGCAGGCTGGTTCTCTAAGGAACTCTGGGATGTGAATCACCAGAAGAGATGCCGCTGGAGGAAGACAAAAAGCATGAGTAAGAACCCATATTAGGGATTACATCAAGGCAATAAGGGCAGTGAAACACTGCTATTTCTCCACTCTTATTGAATCTGCCAGTAACTACCTTGTGGCCCTGTTTAAGGCCACCTAGTGTCTGCTGGGGAGGGACAGGCCACAGGATCATCTGCAGGGCCACTGTGGGGAACATTCTCGCTATCTGGCAGATAAAGTCACTTGGATCTACTCAGAGTTGGATTCTGACCAGACAGGTCCAGTTGAGGTGCCTGAGGCAAGTCCTTGTGAGGTTATCTGGAGTGACTTTGATTCTGTGACTCCTGTTTCAGTCAGGTTTTGGGCCAGAGTTTAGTATAGAGTCTGCATTGGTTGCTCTTATTGATGATCTGTGGAGGATCCTGGATGGGGAAGGTGCTGAGTGGCTGTGTCTTATTTGGGCCTCCTGGTTCTGGGGATACTCCACTGTTAACTCTCGTTGGGTTGCACTTCCCCATTCAATTTGTGCACAATCTGGAGGTCCTCTTGGGCTCTCAGGTCCTGCTCAAGCAGCAGGTGGCAGCTGTGACCAAGGCAGCCTTTGCACAGGTATATCTAGTGCCCCAACTGTACCCTTTCCTGGACCAGGTGGCCCTTCAGAGAGTGACTCATGCCCCCGTCACCTCACAATTGGATTACTGTAATGCATCCTATCTGGGGCTGCCCTTGAAGATAATCCAGAAGCTACAGCTGGTTCAGAATGCAGCAGCGCATGCAGTGATGGAGGCATAAGTTAAGCTCACGCAACCCCACTGGGTAGTTGGCTGGCTACCAATCGGCTTTCAGGTGCAATTCAAGGTGTGGGTTATCACTTTGAAAGCTCATCATGGTATAGACCTGGATATCCGAGGGACCGCTCATCTCCAACTGGTTCTGACCATTTGGTAAGATCAAGCACTCCAGGTCCCATGGATCAAACAGTGTTATCATATGGGACCCAGGAAGTGTGCCTACTCCATTGCAGCACCTGCCCTTGGGAATGAGATTCCCCCCCGAGATTCATGTGGCTCCTACCCTTATGACATTTAAGAAATTACTTAAAACCTAGTTTTTCTCCCAGGTCTTAGGATAGGATTTGTGTGGAGCCCCCTTTAGTTGTATTTGGTCTATGGCTGAGTGTTTTGTCCTTCTGGTTAGCCACAAGAGGTCAGCCTCTTTTTAATGTATTGTTTTTCCTTTTTGATCTGTAAATTGCCCAGAGCTGTTAAGGAGTTGGGTGGCCTCGAAATTGGATTGAATAAATAAAGGGTTCCTCTTGCTATCTTTTGGAATTTAATATCATTTACATCACATCAGTACCTTTGGGGAGAGCCCAAGATCAACTGCAGCTGTAGAAAAAGGGGCAGGGCACTAAGTTAAACTGAGAACTATTTCCTAATTGCATCGATCATGTTAGATGCTTGCCGGAGAGGTCATTAAGAGGAAAGCAGGAATACTTGGAGAGTAACAGCACAGGTTTGGCAGCATCTGGTGAACAGAGAGATGTGAAAACATTTGCCAGAATCTTTGTCCCCTTTAAAAACATTTTTCTCTTGATTGTTAAATGAGACCATTAGGGAGATGCCCAATTGTTTTGATTTTGTTTTTATTTAACATTTCAATGTGGGTAAGCAATCAAGACCAAGGCTGGAGCACAGAAGGCAAAAGAGTGGCCCCTTCCCGCTGCAGTGTGATACCAATGAAAATAATTCTCCATCCCCAAACAAAAAACTGGGTCAGGAGGGAATCAACAGGGCCTTCTCACTTCAGTTGAAAGTACCTGTCGATGTGGGTGGGGTGGATCTTCATTGGGATAAAAAGGAGGAAGACCTAACGTGCACAGAGTTGCATGCCGGTTAGCCTGCATTTCATCTACCTGTTCCCAGAAATAAGCAAACCACAAGTTTATTTCATCTTCAGATCTTAAAGGGTGAACGTCCAAGCAAATTTCTATGCCTTACGGAAGTCACTTGGCTCACTTCTGGCTTTATGGAGGAGGAGGAGTTTCCTCTTCACCTTCTCCAGATTTTTTTCTATTTTTGCTAACTTTAGAGTTCTTTAACACCTCCCTCTTATTTCTCAGGTTCATGGCCCTCATCATTCGATATCTGATTTTTATATATGATTTGACGAATGCTCTTATCCTACTTCCTTCCATTGTGCACAAATCCTCCAAGATATCAAAGAGGAGATGTCAGTGTTTTCCCATCCCACGGTTTTGCTTTGAGAACTGTGCACATGAGAAATCTGCCAGTGGAGCAAGAACAGAAAGGTGTGCAGAGGTGCAAAACAGATAATTGCATGAGACAGAATGCTGCTAACCGACTCTATTTCTAATACTGCTATCAGTAGCAGAGAATCCATTGTCTTCTAGTAACCAACTGCCCGTTTCTAGGCAACCTGTCAGCGAAAATTTCAGGTTTGTGCAATTTTCATTTAGGTAACGTAAAGGTTAACTGACTGTCAATGGGAGTATTTAAAACAAAACCACCCACTCTCTTCCCCACCATCTCCAGCTAGGAAGCCTCACAATGTATCTTATTTATTCAGCTTGTAATATTTCACCAAGCAATCGACATGAAGCATTCATTCTGCCAACAAACTTGTCAACACTCTAGCTTCTCACAAATGGCCCTGAGTTGGCCAGAACGCTTTGAGGATCAGCATGAAATACCCCCAACTCCACTATGCCCATATTTTACTATGGAAACAAGGAGAGCGAGGATGTTCTGCCAGGTGCAAAGGGAAAAGTGGACTAGAAGGACGGCTGCACTGGAATGTGGGCCATCAGCCCAACAGGTCTTCTGGTTTCACAAAGTGGCTGCCAAAACAAAGCTTCCAAGCAGAGTCTGAAAGGAAAAACCATTCTTGTAATCCCTGGTCTTGGTAGCATCAGAAGTTGAATTTAGCTAACCAGGCTGGTCCCCACCTATGCAGACAAGGATAACTTTCTGGTCCAGGAGAGCTTGTGAGCAGGAAAATAAATCAGCAAGTGCCAATTGGAGTTCCTAATCCATGCTAAGGGCAAATAGGCATTCAGCAGTTGGCCAAGGGCCCACACCCAACAATTCCAACCATGCCTATCAGCGGAAGGCTGCGGACCTCCTCTATGGATTCCAGAACCAAAACAATACACTTTCTTGTAATGGCTTAAAAGACTCAGATCTAGTCAAAAGAGTTCTCACACAAGCATACATACCCATCACACTTTTAGGGTAAGCAAAGCTGTGCCAAGCATGGAGAATTTGGAAGAAATAGCAAGCCCAAGATTTATTCATTTATTTATTAAACATATTTGTATGCTGCCACAATCAAAAACAACTCTTGCTGGCTCACATAGGAAAATGCGATGTGAAACAACCCCCATGCAAAAATAAGAACACAACCACACTGCCAGGATAGAAAGAAAACAAAAGATGGCACCAGCAACTCAAATCAGGGGAAGTCTCTGCAAAAAACTTCAATCTTTCAGAGTTTGCAGAAAAGCAGCAAAGAGGGAGCCAGCTTGACCTCTACATAATGTTGGCAGTGCAACAGAAAAGCAGTACTGCCTCTCCTGAAAGTGTGGCATTTGCAGCCATTTCTCCATGGTAGGTCAAATGGGTTGGGCTGAAGCTGGCTGAAGAAGGTGGCCCTGCAGGTACCTAGGTGCCAAGGCACAATCAGCACCTTAAATTGGACCCA